TTGCCGAGAGCCTGGCGCGAGTTAATGGATGTTTGACTGCCATGAGTCGACTTAAACCTTTTGGTTGCTTCCCGTATGGTCGCGGGACATAGCTTGGCCTGGGCTCTTGCGCCAATAAATTGTGGTCTGAAATAATATCAGCTGGGATTTTTGCAAATTCTTTGCTTCATCGTGTATTCGTAGATCAAAGTGCCAGTGCTTGATCACTGCACGAAACAATGATGATGATAATAATAATAATAATAATAATAATAGTGATAATGATAATAATAATAATAATAATAATAATAATAATCACGATTTACTTTTAGCTTAAGTTCCAAAGTTCTGATTTAAGAGATTACAATTTAAGAAAATAAAAAAATAAAGCTGATTACACCACAGTCGTAAAGTAAACGCCTGTTTAGAAAGATACATCTTAAAGTTTCTTTTAAAATTACTTAAGAGGAACTTTTCTGAAAGGCTTTGTCACCATATGTTTTTTAGTTGGAGATTGGTATAAATAAAACTTGTTGTGAAGTAGATGTGAGGGGGGTAGCTAATGTTTGTGTTTGTTCGCTACATTTGGATTTTTTTTCAGCCAAACCCTGCAATTTCGACTTTGAAAATGGGATAGGTGGCTGGATAAGGAGCGGTACAGCTTTTAATAATCAGCCGACATACGGCGATAACCCTACGGCGCGCTTGAGAGAGTCTGCAAACCAACAGGGCAACTGGTGGATTGGAACATTTGAAAATCGTCCATCTATTGATACACCCGCGGGACGCGTTCAAGACGATGCTCCTCAGGGTTATCTCACTTCCCCGTCTTTTAAGATCAACGGAAAAAGTGTTGACTTTCTTGTCGGTGGAGGTTGTGACATTAACATAGTTCGAGTAGAACTAGTTGTCGGGATTCAGGTAAGCGCAAATACCTCTCAAATACCTCTGATATCTTTCTCAGGTTAATGAAGCGTTATTCAAAAGTGCTGAAGATAGTCGTTTTCAGGACTAGCTACCATTCCATGGACGATCGTGCACTTCCCTTGCCCTCACGAACCATTCATAAGATGACATGTTATGATACTTGTTGGCTGATTTTTAGCTTTGGGAATACAGATGCAATAGATTATCTGCAGATTTATCGATATGCTCCAAATTTGCACAAATGGTTTGATCCTTATTCCTCCTTTTGGGAGGAATAGGGATGGCACGTTAGACTCGAACCACTTGTCTCGGACAAGATACTTTACTGTCCCAGTGTCTCCTTCTAGCTTAAAACAAAATTGACCCAGCGAGCATCTGTGTGAATGAGGTTCTAAACAAAAAATCTTTCATCTTCTCCACGCTGTTGAAACAACTTGGCCTTCTCGCAATGTTAACGCCATCTGTGCAGTCCTTTGACAGCTAGGAAGGAAGTAAAATGTTTTTGATGTAAGTATGACAAGCTTTGCAACCCTTGTCAAGGTTTATTGATACAACCTATTGTGCTGTCTACGACAAATTTTTCTTTATACCTTGTAGGTTGTCAAAACTGTCACTGGTACTTGCTCTGAGACGATGAACCGTATGACTTGGGATATTGAGCAATTTATTAGTCAAATTGCACATGTCAGACTTGTTGACGCTGGCTCCTCGGCCTGGCATCACATTAATTTCGATGATCTTAAAGGAGACATTAGCTGTGAATAATAACGCATGATCCGTCCAATCAGATATTAAATAAGCCAGCTGGGATCATCTGCTATTGCACATAGCACTCCAAAAGTTACAAATAACTTTCTGAGTAGCTTTCTTTCTTAATGCAATTATTTGTATCGCAGGCCGACGGCCTTTTATACTTCCTATGATAGGAATGGCCTACCTTTTTTTTTTGCATCTAAGCTAGCAGCCGAGAGAGAAAAGTTGAAAACTCGGCCCCAATTCCAAGGTAAACGGAAACAATAATATCAGAGAAAAAAGGGCACTGTGATTTTTGGTAAACAGGAATCATACACGTCCTTCGAAAAAAACCTGTTCACTTCTATTAATTAAGTATGTTTTCGCTCAGGATGTCGAAAAATGACAAATTTACTATTTTTTTCTTATTTTTTACTATTCACGGGTATTCTCACTGTGACAACGGAAGTACATTCATCTTTATTCTAAATCGAGCCAGACCAAAATATGTGTGGTCAGTGTTTTTCGAAAAAATACGTTTTCAGTGTTTGTTTCATGTTGTTTTTCATTTCGAGATTCGGTATTTAAAAATATATGAAAACTTGGTTTTGCTTTCAACATGCACACATGCTCTTTAATTAACAACTAGGAAGGCCTTGAATTCTTCCTAACTCCCATATACTACCTGCTGGCAGTTTGTCTGATTAACATAACTTTGGGTGATTAGGGAGAATTAAACCAGATTTCAGAGTCTTACCAGAATGTTGCGGATTTTTATGTTTGTTGATTTCTTGTACTAGTTTTTCATGTGCCAGCTTGTTCGGTCTGGGTTAAACTTAAGTCTGTGGCAAATATAGCCAAGGAGAGGATCCTCTGAAGGTGTGTTTGCCGTACCACCCCTTTTTTCTCGGTGCAAGGTAAAAAGTTGGAAGTCTTACATAATGAGTAAACCTAATCTCTTGGTCACAGCACTAAGGCGGGTGGTTTTAATCTACCTGTTTTGCTGCCTAAGGCTACTGATTAGGTAGTACTGTTTTTTTGTTTTTTTAGTTCCTTACTATCTGTTTATGTTTACGTGACATGCAGTCCGTGACAATCTTGTGAAAGCAGCCGTGTCAAAATGACGAAATCTGCATTCCTAACTTTGAACGAAACTCGTATCACTGTCACTAAAAAGCGGGATCTGCAGTAATTCACTGTGAAGGTGTGTAAGTTGTGAACAAAGTAAAAGGAATGTGTTAAACAGCTTTTGCTCCTTTTTTCATACGTTAGATATTGAAATCCTCTCCCTCTCCCTCTAAGTAATGAAGGAGGGTCTTCCTCTGTGTTCTTTCATAGCAGGTTGGCTGTAGTAGCGTTAGATTATGCGATATGGGGCGCTTTGGGAAAAATTTTCATAAAAAGCAACAACAGTAAACTTAGACGGGGAAATTTGATTAGAAAATTCCATTATACTAAAATTGCCAATTCATCCATTCTAAAAATTACCCTAAATAGTTCAAAGTAGATGGATGTGCCATAAAATCTTTGTTAGCATTGATGTTCTGCTCAGCAAATAGCGGCTATTTTCATCCTCTGCTTAGTCAGTGAAGAATAGTGAAAAGCTAAGTGTACACACAAAAAAATAACAATCGAAACCATGGCGTCTCCTTGTTTTTCTTTTCCTGAAATGACTTGGATTATACCCTTACGTCTCTGCTCTATGATCCCTTGAAATAGCCTGCCCGTGACTCCCTGCGCTGAAAACTTGTGACAACTTTCTTCTGCCCAAGTACTGCGAAGCAATAGCCCGTTTGCTGTAAAATGAATAAGCTCTCATATTTCGCTGAAATATCCGAAGGTTGCGAAAAAAAAGCGATGATCCTTTAAGGGCAATTTTTCCTCGTTAAATAAATATGTCTCGTCGATCATTTACTTCAGTGTATTGATGTTGTGGGAGACCTTTCTACGCTGCTGTTACTACAATGGTCGGTTTTTGCATCCAAGATTTTTCGTATTTATGATTCTTTGAGCTTACAGCTGTGAGTGGAAAACTCAGCTTCACATACATAACATGATATTTCATTCAAGATGCGAGAAGTCAAAGAAAAATACATCTTAAAAAGGAATGACAGAAGTAAGCCCTTTGACGTGTCACTTTAAAAGAATAGGAAAATAAGAACGGAAGTTCATGTTGAGTGTAAGAATTTTCCTCAAGATATTAAAAATGTCGCAGGCGGACTATGATCATAAAATGTGCAGCTGTTTTACATACAAGAAAATCCAAACGACTCAAAGGGCTTCCCTTGGAGCTGTTTGTTGGTCAAATGTGGTCTGATAACTTTGCAGAAATGATTAAAGATGGCACAGCCCTTCAAGCTGTTTTGAACAATTTCAGTGTTCAACTTATTACTCATGCTTCTCTTCTTGAGGAGACAAACACAATATGTTCTCCTTTTATGGGTCACAGAGTATTTTACCACAATTGGCTGTAATTTCGCGGTCTGATTGGCCAATTTGCCTTCGTCGATGACAGTACAGCCAATGTTGTTCGCGTCAACATGTCACGCAATGGTTACGCACTAAAGAATTGTTTTATTTCGACGTTGATGTTGGGGTTAAAAACAAATCGATAGTGGTTTAGAGTGGTCTCCACTCTTATTTGTCATCACAGTGGACAAAATGTTGTGGACTTACAAGGCGCAGCTGTGATGACGAATATCGTTGTCGATTAAGAGTACAGCACTGCCAATTATGGTAAATTACACTATAACCCATAGAAGGAGAAATGATTGTGTTTGTTATTATAAAATGTCGCCGCAGATTCCATTTCTTAGTCCATACTGCTAGCTGATCGCTATCGTATGGTAGCTCCTACTTAAAGCGATTTTTTCAACATTTGCCAGTTCCCGTCGTATCTTAGTGTCATCGGCGAACATCCGAGTGATTGTGGAGATGTTTGATGATATGTCACTGACGTATGTTAAGAGGAGAGTATGATTATTTTCGCTCCGGAACATTACAAATAATAGTCTTTTTCAACGATATCGTTACTGTAACACCAAACGATGTATATTTATTGCTAACATAGATCAAACAAGACCAAAAGCTATAAAGTTAGTGGCTACGAATAAATCTGCTTTTTTTTTGTTTAACCTTTCTTATTTTTTTGCTGTATTCATTACTTGCCTCCTTCATTCAAAATTAATGAAGTTTTTGGTAGTTACTGCAAACACACTCACTAATTAATATCAACAGAGTTTATTTCAGGAATCTCTCTTCACCCTTGGATTAATTAACAAAGCTAGCTATTGTAACAGCTGCATGGAAGAATTGAGCAGATTTCTAAGGTTTTCCAACAAAGTTATCCTTCTTTTCCAGTTATGGCGGTCATCAGCTTTGTTTTTATTTTGACGTTCCTTCTGGTTTTCAACGTCTCTGAAAACGGTCGGTCCTTACAGCCTGGCGCTCTTCACCGAGACAAAAACCTACAGATTATGTATGGTAACTTTAAAGCTACACTTCATAAGCATCTTTCCGCAACAGTAATCGCAACTATCCTAACTAAGGACGAATTTCTATGCTCGTTCAAATGCATCACTAAAAACGAATGTTTCTCGTACAACTTGGCAACATATCCAGATAATGGTTTCTACATTTGTGAATTGCTGGACACAGACAAATACAGAGCCAGAAAAGAACTGAAAGTGAATTCTTCTTTTCACCATTTCAGTCCAGTGGTAAGTTATAGTTCATGTAAATTGCTTTGATATTCCTAATTATTGCTGTCTTTAATGTGAAAAGTAAAATCTTTATTACAGCTAGTTTCATTATTGATTCGATGGCAGATGACTGCCGGTAAAACTTTTAGGTTCCCACAGAACACTCAGAAATGTTATAGAAGCCGTCGACTATTAAAATAACCCCAACAATTTTGGGGACCAAGCCTTAATCAAGAGACGTGAAAAAAAAAAAAGAAAAAAAAAGAAATGAAAAACGATGCTGTTTGATGTCTCCTGATAACGAATAGACACCTACAGTCCCTAATATGCATATCTTCAGTATGCATGCTATCTTCGGGCGGTTTGTATGTACTCTAACCTTGGGTGATTAAGAGAGAACCTGATTTTGTAGCATTACCAGATTAACCTATGAACACATTCTGCGAAATTTGTTTATCGCAGATTTTATGCAGATTGTCCTCCATCCGAAAAATTATCTCTCCGAAGAAAAAAGATCCTATATGACATTAAAGATGTCGTAGAAGTTCACCTCGTTAAGTCCGATAACTTCTCATTTGAGTCAAAATATATCCGTGCAAAATTTTGTGGTACGGGTATGCTATCTTTATGTAATTAAAAAAGGAAACTGTAGAGGTCAAAACTTTTGGCAGATGTTTATAGCAGTAAAATGTTAGTAAAATGACGTGTTGATACTTCAAAACCAGACTTGCATATTGTGATGAGGTGCAAATCAGGATTACATGTATTATCGGTCGTTCATTTATATTCCCCCAGTGTCAGCTTTGCATATTATTGTCTGTTAGGGGAAAACCACTCTAGCTGGCGGTTTTATGTTTGCTGTACGGCCATAGTAAGGATAACCGGGAGTAAAATCTTTGAAATCCCTGCGGAATTCTTGACCCATAATCTCCCTTCAACTGAGTACAAGTTAAAAAGAGCTGAGGTGATTATTCGTTTCAAAGGTCCTTAATACCACAGCTAAACCTAATTTACCGTTTACGTTCACATCAGCAGGTGGTGTTAATCTACCTCTTTGGCTTTTTCAGGTTACTATATGAATGGTGTTGTCTTTGTTAGTGTTGATTTTCAGTTTTCTTTGCTTTTTGTCTCTTTTTACCCGACAGTCATTATGTGAAAGCAGCCCGTGTCAAAATGATGGAACTTGCATTCCCGACTTTGAACAAAACTCTCATCAATGTGACTGTAAAGCAGGATTTGCAGGAGTTCACTGTGAAGGTATATGAATAGAGTGGAAGACATCTTTTAAAAAGACTCTAGCAAAACTAAAGCTGAAGCTTCAACTTGCAGCTTTTGCTACTAATGTTTCATACCTTAACTTGTGGAATCCTGTATCTCCCTAACGTTAGGATCCACTTTGAATTATCAATCCAGTTGATAAACAGAGTTGTACGGTAGTAACTTCAAACAATGCAACACCACAGTTTCTTAAGTTTTTTACACTGAATGAGCGGTTGTGAAAGGAGGTCTAATATCTCTCACGAAATATCCTCGGTGAAATCTACCTATTCAAAGAATCACCAGCACAATTTTGTGAAAAGCCACTGAAAATCTTCTAAAGTCTGTTTTTTTTTAAGCTTGCAAGTTTGACTTTGAAGATGGCATCATGGGCTGGATAAAGACAGGAACAGCATTCGATAATCAGCCGACTTTTGGCGACAACCCAACGGCTCGTAACAGAGGTCAACCCTCTAATCATCAGGGTGATTGGTGGATTGGTGGAAGTGAAGATCGGCCAACCATAGGAACACCGGCAGGACAAGTACAAGGAGATGGACCCCAGGGAACTCTGGTCACGCCTTCCTTTATTATCATCGGTCATCTTATTTCTTTTTTGATTGGCGGAGGCTGCGATATAAATGTTGTTCGTGCGGAGTTAATCGTTGACAATCAGGTGAGTATTGGAGTATTGGATCGTAATATGAATGATGCCTGTCTGTCTCTACACATTTATCTCTCGCAATATATTTGGCAAATGTCGACGTTCGATCGATCAGTAATAGATCGCAGATGATGTCAAACGTAGCAAGAAGGAAAAAATGGCAAACGACGCACAGCCGGGTGCCTCTCTGATGTTCTTGCAACATTTTGATGTCTGTTGTGATATTGCATGCGACATACAATCTATCTGCTTTATGTAATTAGAGGCGAAATGTAGCTGATGGTGACGCCATCTATGCCTCAGACTTTCGAGTAATCTCGAGTAAGAACCAATCAATAAATACATATATACATGGTACGTGGTTGCCCGCTCATCAGGGGATTTATTATTACCTTGGACAACGTAATAAGATAACCACGAAACAGGCTTGTAGGGATGAATTTGTATGTTATTTGTCTTTTTCCTTCCACAATATAAATATATATATATATATATATATATAACTAACTGCAGACAGTACTGTTTCGGCCTTCTGGGCCTTATCAATGCAGTGCTGATGCTAAGGTGGAGGTAAGGCCATATAAACACCCCAAGTGATCTCACACATGTGGGATCATCTAAGCCATGCCAGAGCCGGAGTAAGACCTTTGACCTTTTATTAAATAATAATAAGACGTTTGACATAAGAAATTTTAAGATCGAGAGTACGTAAGACAACAAAGGTCTAATATATATATATGAACAGCGAAGAATTGGTATTCCTAACGATGGTTTCCCAGTAAGAGGATCTACAGGATACAATGTCTCGACGTGAATTTGTCCTTAAGTGTACTTTAAGGACGTAACGAAGAGGCCAACTCTTGACTGTTCTGGACGGGTTTAATGCACGACGTTTCGGCCGTTCGGCCTTCTTCAGGTTAAAAATTAAAACATAAAAAGCTATTTACAATGATTGCGACTTATATACAGAACAGAAATTTTAAGATTGAGGTTAAGTAAGACAACAAAGGTCTAAATTTCAAACTGAGAAGGGTTAAATGGTTAAACAATGACAGGTAAATAAAGAACTATAGGTGACATGTGAATAAAAATAAGGTGAATATAAATAAGTGACAAAAATTAGAGAGAAAAAAAAATTTAACTTAATTAGTAGTGTTTACTCCGGTGTAACAAGGATCCCAGGAAAGGGTCATTAAACCGCAATAATAATTTCCCCTCCAAGACCCCTTTTTTTTTAAAAACCGATGACAAACATAACGAAGAGGCCAACATTATTTATTTGGCCACTTGTGCACAATGAAATTGATTTGAGAAATATCATGTCATTAAAATGGATGGCCAATTCACAAGTTCTTTTGTTCTTCAGCATATTCGACTTCTGGTCACGAATTTTACTTTAAATTCAATCGAGGTGGAGCCTACGTATTGCAGGTTGCATTTGTGTGTGTGTGTGTGTGGCGTTACCTCAACTCTTCCGTTGTTTTATTCGACCTAAAAGTTATGAAAAACCTAGAGGTGGCCAAACCCATATTTATTTAAAGATTGAATTATTTTCATTGGAGCATCCTTATGTAACTCACGTTATAAATGTCTCGATTTTCAAGAGGGTGAATTCACCAAGAAAACAAATTAGCCGGCTTTAAACATTCGCAAGCCTAGAGTATTCTCAAATTGATTCCAAACTTTCTATCGCATTTGTTAAAATTAATAACTATTATCGTTTCACAGGTTGTGAAACAAAGCACCGGAAGATGTATCGAAACCTTGACTCAAGGGACATGGCATGTACAAGAATTTTTGGGAAAGCGTGCTTTCGTTAAGCTGATTGACATCAGCTCTGGAGCCTGGGGCCACATTAACTTTGATGACCTTAAAGGGAATATAAGCTGTGGACAAGTATAAAGCCGCGAGTTAAGATAAAATCTGAGAAGAGCTTATTTACAGCTTCTTTTCAGCAGAAACACAGCCAAGACACTGGAAACCCCATACATATTTCATTGTACGGGGAAGTCCCTTTAGTTATCACCGTAGCCACATATAATCTGGCCTCCTCAGAATAATTTCGAAAGCATCTTGTCAAAATAACCAACTTGATACCTCTTATATTAATCCTTGTTTGTATATATCACACAAGTTAATGTGGCTTTTCACGCGCGCTGATTGGCTAGTTCGGAAATGAATAGCAAGTACTATTCATCTTCACTTTGGTGAATAATTGAAATTATTATAATCGTTGCTTTTATAATTATTACTAAGGTCTCTCATGAAGGATATGTCTATAAGTTTGATAGTCTCCTCGATAAAATGCTCGACCAGTGTACATGTAAATAGATCGTTCTCAACGACTTCGTTAGCTATATTGGCTGCTTAAGCAATGGTATGGAGGCCATCTGTAAGCACCAAATCAATCCGTTGGGGTTATTTTTTCCAATGGATTTACACAGCTTCTCACCACGAAAAAATAAAAATGTTCTGTAGTTTATAGATGTTTTCTAACTCCAGCATCGACTGCATTTATCCAAATGCTTTCGTGATTGCAGAGAATCAGAGAGAAATAACCACGTAATGATCAGTTTATATTCTTTTGAAATAATCACTGTTGCTGATTGACATATTGTCATTTGTTGTAGTTTAAGCGTGATGCGTGCCTTAGCTTTGAGAAACTATGAAGTTCATAATTAAAACATGCAGTGATTATGAAATTTTGCCAACCTTCTATCAAAGCCGATATTTTTTAGTTGAAAATTTTCAGAAAGAAGAAGGAAAAAAAGACTTGGACTTAAGAGTCGGTTTAAGCTGACGATGAGATGATATGCTCGCCGTCTTTTAAACAACCATTGTTGAAATCCTAATTGCTAAGTAGTTGGTATTCTTTCGAATGCCACTGATAAGAAAAAAAAAATTCGTAGTTGACTTTCAGAATAAAAGATCACTTTGGTACAGACATGTATCTCACTCACGACTTCTTCTTTTGTTAGTTTCTGCACTGTTTTCGAGAGATGCGAATGGAAAAAATATCTGCTTCATTGCCTTTTGTGCAAGTAATTTCAAGTAAATAGGTAAGTAAGCGGCCGCTAGACTGAAAACTCGGTTGTTTTGGCATATGTTTTGAGAATCAAGATGAAAGAAACAAGGAAAAAGGAAGTGATAAGAGAATGTTGTGTAATAAAAGTTAAATTTCAGAATGTCATTCGGCGAATTTCAACAGCGTTCAAGCCAACAGTGGCCAAATTTCTCGGACTTGGCGGTGTACCGGGGTACAATTGTTGTTGCAAACAAGACACGGAGCTGGGTGGCAACGCTTTGAGGGCTACGAGAGCACTTGCAAAAATTCGCAACAATAAAAAGCACGAAAACAAAATATTAAAAGAAACGATCATCTGGAGCGAGGCAAATATTCACATCAAAGTATCTTTTATTAGAATCCTTTTTTATTTAGTTAAAATGGTCGTCCGTAGGTCAAACAATGATGTATTTCATTTCCTATTATTAACCAAATTTTTTCCTGAGCACCAAATGTTAAAGAAGATTTTTACCAGACCAGGTTCACAAAAGATTGTTGAGGAGTGCTTACGATTTTTGAGCTTAATAAAAATTGTTACCATTATTTTCTCGCCTTTCCTTTTTCTATTTTCTATTTCCCATGTATTGTCTATGCAAATTAGCGTTGTTCCCCCTTTGAATATGTAATAAAGGCAAATAATTAATAAATAAATGGAAAAAATTGTAGACTTATGAAAAGTCTCTCCTCACGTCGTATCCTTGGAAACTGCCTGTCAAAGTTTTGTTCAATTGGAAAACTGCCACAACCCTGTTGTTGACGGTGGCGCAAGGTGCAAATTGTTCATCATGGTTGGAAAATCTTTTTCACAAGGAATTCGAAGCGATCGCATTATTTTAATAGTCATTGCACTGTGTTTATGTGTGTGGATCTCAAACCAAGTCTTGGTACGATATTTTTCCGGAGGTAGGTTACAACACTTAATTTGAACCCTTCCAAGGACCGGCCTTTAGAATATGTAAAAGATTTATTGTTCAATATGTGTCGAGCAACTTCAAGAGCATACTGTAAAATGAATAATATTGTGAAAATATGAAACTTGTTAACGATAACTGAGAAATTGTACAAGTAAATTGTGGCCAGGTTGAGAGATATTAAATAGCAAATGAATTTCATTGAAAGTATCACATTCAGAACAAAACCTTTGATCTTTGTGTAATAAAAGTTACATTCCAGCATGTTATTCGGTGAAATGAATAATATTGTGGAAATATGAAACTTGTTAATGACAACCAAGAAATTGTATAAGTAAATTGTGGCCAGGTTGAGAGATGTTAAATGGCTAATGAGTTTATAGATGTTCATGAGAATCACGTAAGATAATCAGAAAATAAATTTATCATCGAAAGTATCACATGCATTCAGAACAAAATCGTGGATATATGCAGAAGATACAATATTCAACATATTAACGAATGATATGGCCATGTTTAAGCACCAAATCAATCCGTTGGGGTTTAAACTGTGTCTTAACAAAACACTATTTTTTCCAATGAATTTACACAGCTTCTCACCACGAAAAAATGACTGCATTTATCCAAATGCTTTTGTGATCGCTGAGATTCAGAGAGCAATAACCGCGTAAGGACCAGTTTATGTTCTTTTGAAATGATCATTGTTGCTGATTAACATATTTTCATTTGTTTCAGTTAAAGTGTGATGCGTGTCTTAGCTTTGAGAAACTATGAAGTTCATAACTAAAACATGAAGTGATTATGAAATTTTGCCAACCTTCGATCAAAGCTAGTCGATATTTTTTAGTTGAAAATTTTCAGAGAAAAGAAGGAAAAAAAGACGAACTTAACAGACGGCTAACGATGAGATGATATGCTCGCCGTCTTTTGAAATAAGCATTGTTGAAATCCTAATTGCTCAGTAGTTGGTATTCTTTTGTACGCCAATGATAAGATAAAAAAGAAAACGCAATAAATACAATTTCAAATAAAGAATCATTTCTTTATTTAAAATTGTCGTCCATAGGTCAAACAATGATTACGTATTTATCATTAACTAAATGGGAAGTGATTCGAATTGGGAGATGTTCCTATTAGCGCTCTCATTTCATGAATCCATTTCGGTTATCGTTTCCAAACAATAAGTCACTGAGATCTTCTGGCAGCTCCGGGGGGTCAGCAAATTGTGATGTGAACTAATTACTCCTCACTTCGTGTCCTTTCAGATCGTTTTTTCGGTTTCTCGGTTTGGTTTCGCTCTTTCCTATTTGGGTACCGGTTTGTCTTCGATCTGAGCGGCAATTAAGCGCCTCCACCAATCTCGAACAGCCGAGAAACGCAAATTTTATAGAGAGGAATGCTTGACAAACCAAATGTGGCTACCTTCTCTCAAGTGAAATATCGTTTAATTAATCCAAGTATCACTTCTCTTTCGATCTCTAACTAGGAACGGAACTGATTAGCTTTCCACGTTTTTACATCAGACTTTAATTTTGAAGTCTATTAGATGGTTTTTGTTCCGAATAAGAGAAATTGATAAGGCAATTTGGTCACGTTTGATTTCTTACGAAAAGATACTATTTTAATAATATGTAAAAAAAATCAGTTGGAGAAAAAAAATTCTTAAGCCTCGAACTTCTTTGGAGGGTCACGATCCGGCAAAAAATTTTGTTAATTCGTGTTGATCACGTACAAATCATTCTCAAATTGAGAAATGTGGTTTCCGTCTTGTCACGAGCGTGGGACAAAGAAAAAATTCTGAGTCCTCATGAGGAATCCAACCTCAGACCTTCGGATTCCGCGCTCCGACGCTCCGTGGCTCAGGTGTAGAGCATCGGAGCGCAGAATCCGAAAGTCTGAGGTTCGATTCCTCATGGGTATTCAGACTTTTTTCTTTGACTCACGCTCGTGACAAGACAAAAAACATCTTTCTCTATTTCTTTACCGAGCTCAAAACTTACCATCTCTCTTAATCTATTTACAA